AGACTAAAGGATGGATGATGATACTGAAACTGAGAAAATTATTTTAGGGATTTGGAAGAATGTTTGACTTATAAGTGAGGTAAGTAAATAATTATCCTTAACATTGGGGACATATTATTGAAAACAGTATTTCATGCCATGTTGAGAAAATTGACTTGAATGAAGTTAGGGGATTGTTTTTAACTGGATGGTTTGTCATAGAGCATAGAAACTTACTTTTTAAAACAAGATTGATGTATATTTGTGTTAAATTCTTAAGGCCTGTTATTGACTAAAGTATGAGTGAAGGGGGGATAGAGGGAGGGAAAAGTTCACTGTATCTCATCCAAAGTATATGATAAGCATTTTAAATCATTTTCTAATTCCCTTCTATTGTTCGTCCTGTATTGCTTCATTTACTATATGGCTTTTTCACACTTGGATTATGGTTATCCTCTTGGGTGCAGAATTACTGCATATATATTCATACGTACAGGTGTCTGCATATGTAAATGTACACAGGTACACAGGCGGGTTGACTGTTGCCAATTAGGTAGAAACAGCACACAACTTATTGTTTTATAGAGTCAGTTTCTAAATTGTAGTTATTCACTGTAATTTTTACACACAAATATCATGAAATAAAGTGGTCATCACATTTAATGAGTGTAACACTTCACTCAATAAAAATATAAATGGTCTTATCATTATATCATCGTCTTGTATAGTTTGAGGCATGGCTATTTAGCTTAGGGTGCATCATTTAATCCGGCATCTAATGCTAACTTCAAATGTGTTGTCTTCTTAATGTGATTGTAATTATTTTGCAAGCCTGAAATTTACCCATCATTTCCTTTTATAATGAACTTAACTTAGGAGTGACTTTTCCAAATAAGTATCTAGAAAGTGAAATGAGAAATTGATTTACTAAAATAAGCCATTTTGATTGCAGTTATCCATGTTTATCAGAAAAGATTCCAACGTAATTATGTAGAACACAGTCTGAAACGTACAGTCTGAAATCCTCTCCAGAAGATTGAATCCATGACTGACCCAGTAAGCTAGACCAAAACCCATGGCTGGTTTAGTCGTAGGTCCTAGGGAAAAAAATTACTATTATATTGTTAAATGGACACAGTGATAGACTGACCTCTGAATTCTCATTTTGTACCAGGAGATCAGTGTATCTCACAACTCTAGTTAGGAGAGCTTCATTTTACAACAGCGTGATTAATGGAGACACACAAGGCATCAACATGCAGAGTAAGAAACAATTGAGTGCTCAGGATTTAGTGGGACATCCGTATACTACTCCTTCTCCTCATGGTTCAAGGATGGTTATGGCAGATGGAACAAAGATTGCAAGAGCCAGAAGTAGTAGGACCTCTGCAGGGCAAGTATTTACTGGACATGAAAGGGACATTAAATGTGTGGACTCACAGTACCTTGGAGTCTTGCACAACTCCTGTATTTGATCAGGCCAATGGAAACCTCAGCCTGAGCAGGACAGGAGCTCGTGAGGCCCTATCCCTCATTATGGATCACATATTTTAAATGCGGGATAGGGCCTGGAGAGCTCTTGTCTTGCTCAGGCCGAGGGTTACCTTGGCCTGATCAAGTACAGGAGTTGTGCAAGACTCCAAGGTACTGTGAGTCCACACATTTA